TTATGATTTGGTACTCAAGAAACATTTCTTATTATTATCAGTGTTGAAAACAATTTTTGTGGAAACTGATTTTCTTTCAGATAATTTACTACTTGGAATTTATATTTTTTAATTATAAAATTATTATAAAAATTAAATTAATAAATGATATAATTTAAATGTAAAAAATATTTTTATTATGGATGGATAAGGTTAACTGTAAAAATTGTGACAATTATAAAACTATTTTAAGATTACCGAAAACTTTATTTAAAAATGAACATGAACATAAAATTCTAAATGTTCTATAATTAAAGGTGCAGTAGGAGATCTTGGAAAATGCTAACTTTAGCCTGATAGCACTGAAAGCGAACATACCACCCTCCCTGCACTCGCCGTCCAAAGCCACTCCCCCCGAACGCATATACGCTCACAGACCAGAATACCAGAGACAACATTACTACAATAGTCTACATCAGTGGTTCCCAATTCCAGTCCTCGGAACCGGAGGCCAAAAAATTAAGGGTTGCAAGAAGTTTTGATAGACCTGATATTGCGTGACTCCTAGTTGAGGGTTCCAAGTCGTCTTTTATTTCATGAAACAAATTAAAAATAACATGGCTTGGCAAACGACATGTTCGGATAATGTGTTCTTCTGGCATTCAAAATAAATGAATACGTGTGGAAAAATCGTATCCCTTCTACCACGTGCTCTCTGTTCTCTGCGGTGCCTCCTCTAGCAACAATAATTGCAGCCATTTCAAGTGCAAAGCAGTTTAAGACATGCTATTTTTGGGCGTTAAATAATCACTGTAAAAAAAAAAGTTGACCTAACTCAAAAAAATAAGGCAACTTATCACACTCAACTTGTTAAGTTAATCCAACTAGCAACGGACAACTTTAAAACTTTAGTTCATCTAATGAATAAAAGTCAGTTTACTGAGTGTTAAAAGATCTGTCAGAGCAACCAAAGATTTTTTAGCATTTAGCAATGCTAATCTTTTTTATCAATCCTCTTTCTTTTAAATTTACGTTTATTTTCAAAGCCTTCTACATGTTATGGGTAGTATTTGCCTCTTAAAACTAAAGGCAAACGTGTATGCAGAGACAAATGTATTAAACAAGTTGAGATGAGATGCACATATACAGTACCTCAGCACATGATTCTCAACCATGGTGAGGATCAACAAATTTTAAATCAGTAAAAATATGAACTCTCAGCAGCAGCAGCATCAATTAAGCCAGTAAAATTTAAAACAATGATAATCTTTGAGTAATCATTAACATGCTGCAATGCATGCTGGGAACTTGTGCAATATTGTTCAGTGTAAAATTGTTTGTTCAGATGACTCAATTTGAAAAGTTGGGACACCATTTGGATATGTTGTGAACAAATACTTGAGTATCTAAGTAAGGTAAACAAAGCAACTTTTGTTAGCGACGTGTTTAGAGTATTTTCAGTTCACACAAAAAATTCTTATTTAGTCTTCTACTAAAAATTCTTTGTTCAGGCTACTTTTTTTTACATTAGTAGGGGAGCGCGGGGCACAAAGTAACGCGGGGCAAGTTGTAACACACGTAGTTTAAATATTTCCACACATGCTAGCATAACCAAATTTTCAGCATTTACTAGTTACCATATCAACATTATATGGAGAAAAAACTATTTTTTACTTTAATTAATTTGAATGAGAAACAACGAGAAACAGGTGAATAAAGACTGACAGTCAATGTTTAATGTTAAGAAATTATTATTTCAAGACATGTAAAGCATTTTTGTTTATGTGGGCCGTCCCAAGCATGGTTGCAATGTGTTCATTGTCAAACTCCAAAATCAGATTATTTTTAATTCTTAAAAAACGCCATTATTTTATTTTATTTTATTGACAAAATATTTTAGTTTGTCTTGTATATTTTTTTCATTCGATCAGATAACATTTTAAGCTGTCATATGGTCATGTTACAACGTGCCCCTCAGATGTTACAATGTGTTCCACCTACGGGGCATGTTGTCACATTTCACTTCCAATTTTTGAGGGTAAATAAAGAAAAACGTATACACTGTAATTATGAAACAAAGCGACATATTTGTACTAGACAAGTGTGAAATTACTGTGGATAAAAAAAATATACTCTGAACCCCATGTGGATTTACACAAACTGAGAAAGTCAAAAAGTGTTACTTTGTGCCCCGCTCTCCCCTAGAACTTTTCGAAAGTTGGATTTTTTACAGTGTGGCGCAAACTTCAGTAAATCTCATTGCATGATTCATTTGAATACTCTCCTCCCATTAATTTTGCGTCTGAAAGGGAAACTCCAACAAATGCATATTCAATAAGGTCAGGCGCAAACATAACTCTGTCCAAGCCTTTTCAGCGCCCATTCTTCACTCTGCGTCTTTAGTAAAACCTGACAGTACTATTTTAACGCCAAAAGACGGTTTGCGCTGGCACAAGCTATTAGTAAAACTGGCCCTATAAAGCAGCAGTACGTAAGTCATATAAGAGATTTTTAGGCTGTAGTACAATCTCAGAGCACATTTATAATCTTGTTACAAGGATTTGCTGTTTTTTCGATGTATAAGGTGCCAAACATGTAGCAAGAAATAAAGAAAAGACACTGGAATATCCGGCCCTTTAATTGCCTTTGGCATTGACTATATCTGACAACTCCAAACACACTTAAGTACAAAGTAGCATATGTCCTTTTTTTAATGATCCTCTTGGCTTCCTTCCATTGCATCATCTCCTGTTACACTTTTCCACCGCAAACCCTTAACTTCACTCCAAAAGTTTTGAAATCTAGCCAAAGAAACTGCAAAGTTGCCAATGTTAACCCAAAAAACACCCCCTCCACCTCTACCAGCCGTCCTCCAGGAGGAAGAGAAGGAGGGTGGCGGAGGAATATTCGGCATATAAGCCTCTCCTTTAGCCTCCAGCCTGACAGACAGATGCTGCTCTCGCTAGCATGCGGGGGAGGGAGACGAACAATACATAAATATTAATCAGATGGAAGATCGAGAGGCTCATTGCACCCGGAGAGAGAGAAAGAGACATGTAAGAGAGCTGAAAGTCGAGGCTTTTGGAAGGATGAAAATGTAATTATGCGTATTGAATGTCTGTATACGGCCTGAGGCCAGAAAAAGTCATGAAGTTAAGAAATGTAAAACTACACATGCACAGCGCTTTGTCTGACTTTACAGCGTTATTCTCATTTGAACAAATCACTAACTCTAAGTATTAAACTTCAGCATGTAACTTGCCCTTGAGTGATGTCTGAAATCATGCAGTTTGTTGAGGGAGAGGTGTGCTGTAGAGCCCTGCGCGGGACATTTTGACAAAATGTAATGCTATTTGTAGAAATGTTTTCCACATTTTTCTTTACTGTCAGTGTGTAAAAAATGATTTCATAAAATAAGTGCTAATAAATATAATAATTATTATTATTATCATTATATTTGTCACATTAATATACCATTCAACTCATGTTAGAGTTTGAACAGCTTTAAACATGATTTATCCAGTCATATTTTTGAGTCTGAGTGCTCTTTTTCATAGTTATTATTAAATCACTTTAAAGTCATTATCTGATTCATAAATCTTAACTAAATCTCAACTAAGACAAATCGAGAGAATGTATCTCTATTAACACATTATCAGTTGACAGATCTATCCTTTTGTCTCTCACAGGTCAGCGCTAGAGTATAATTACCCAACTCATTTATTAATAAAGTGCTGTTGATGAATGTGAAGATGTGTACAGGTGTGTTTATTAATTCATTGCATTTATTCATTGCTGATAATTGGGTGACCTCATGTATGTTTTTGCTGTCGAGTTTATTGCTACATTAGTCATGGCCAGAGGCATAGCTGGTGATGAAAGTGTGAGCATGGGTGATTAGTTGGCACAGATTTACCCGCCCACCCACCGACTGTGTGTGTGTGTGTGTGTGTGTTGCCGTTCATTCCTTCCTCTGCTCCACGCATATGAGTGACACAGAGCTGGAGGGTACAATATGTCTTCCCTCACTCTGTTTGTTCTCCTGTCTCGATAGGGAACCCCATTAAGTCCAATTAAGTTTTCCTTGAAGTCACCCTATCAAATAAAACTCATACACACCTTCCTGTAGACGGGTGCCTTCATACGCAGCGTGATTTACTGTGTCTGGCATTCCCGTGACCTCAAAATACTTAACAGAACTTTCAAACAGGTGTCTCTCCTCACCCCTGTTGAATGGAAGCTAACATTTGAACACTGCTGGCGCGTGTTAACGTTTTAGAGGACTTAATGAAATGACATCTGTTTCAGCAACAAAAGAACATTTATTTGTGCCTCAGGGATTGTAAGCATGACTAAATTTGCAAATGGTTAAAGAACGAGCTAATCTTCCTCTCTCTCTCGCTCTCTTTCAGTGTTACGTGATGATTTCAGACAGAACCCTACGGATGTGGTGGTGGCTGCAGGAGAGCCGGCCATCCTGGAGTGCGTTCCCCCTCGTGGACACCCGGAACCCACCATCTACTGGAAGAAAGACAAAGTGCGAATCGATGAGAAGGATGACAGGATCAAGGTGAGAAATGGAGACTATTCATATTTAGGGTTGCAAAGAGCTGAAATGTTTCTGAAAAGTTTACAAAAAATCCAGGAAAGTGTCCAAAAATCCTGGAATGTTTCTGGAAATGTTCCTAGAAATCTTCTGCCTCTTTTCAACCCTATTCATATTCAGTTTGTTTGTATGGATTTTATTGTGTTTTTATTTTATTTTATTATTTAAAAATATTATAAATGTTATAAATTATTTACATTTTTATTTAAAAAAATCAAACAAAATCCTTTAAATTCACTTGCCTGCTTGTGCAAGAAATTTTTTTTTACATTTATGTATTTTGTTACACTTATATGGGTTTTGTTTGTTGTCTTGTTTTGTTTTGTTCTCTAAAGCCCTTGTTTTGTTTTGTTTTGTTTTGTTTTGTTTTGTTTTGTTTTGTTTTGTTTTGTTTTGTTTTGTTTTGTTTTGTTTTGTTTTGTTTTGTTTTGTTTTTGTTTTGTTTTGTTTGTTTTGTTTTGTTTTGTTTTGTTTTGTTTTGTTTTGTTTGTTTGCAACATTCACTTGCAAAAAATTTTGCAAGACCAAAAAAAAAAAAAATATCAAAACGTTTTTTTGTTTTAAGGCAAAAAATTCAGTCTACAAAGGTGTATTGTTCAAAGATAAATGTTTCTAAACTTATTGACACTTTTTTGCAACAAAGAAAGCTTTATTTGAGGTGTGGAATGGTGGTTAATGATCTAGCTTTGAATCTAGAACATTAAAGGTTCAAAACCAGCAAAAGGTGAATCATAAACCACATCTATTTTGCCCTTGAGCAAGGTATTTAACTTCAGGTAGCTCCACAGAGAGTGCTGCAGTAACTTATCGCATGAGTTGTCACAGAAACTGTAACGTTCCTGTCTTCCCCTTCAGATCCGTGGAGGGAAGCTGATGATCTCTAACACGAGAAAAAGTGACGCTGGAATGTACATATGCGTGGGCACCAACATGGTCGGCGAGAGAGACAGTGAGACGGCCCAGGTCACCGTGTTCGGTATGTGCCAACTATAGTCTGACATTTCTAAACCACAAAAAAAAGCCTTAAAATATAAACAAATATTTGAGTCATGCTCTGAAAATGTTTAACATCTCAGCTCATAGTTGATGCTTTTGTAAACAAGCAAGTTTGAAAGATTTTTCCAGCATGAGAGAATGTGTCATGCTTAATTCCTCTATTATGCTTGTGTCTTCACGTTAGTCATAAAACATGCTGGAACACAAAAGCGTATGATACACTTACACAATACCACAAATCTCTGTGAGAGCTTCTGTTCGGGATCTGTGACTCGATGCTGAGTCACGGCGAGTGAATGAGGTCTCCGCGTCCCTTATGTCCTTTTCTCGTCTGCTTGTCTTTCAGAGAGGCCCACGTTCCTACGACGGCCCATTAACCAGGTGGTTCTGGAGGAGGAGGCAGTGGAGTTTCGCTGTCAGGTGCAGGGAGACCCGCAGCCTACCATCCGCTGGAAAAAAGACGAAATTGATGTCCCCCGTGGCAGGTGAGACGGGTACACGCTGGCAGAGACGTCTGCCAATCTAAAGCATTATTTCAAACGTCTGCTCCCACAGCCATAAAAGCCGTTTGTGATGTAGGTGTTGAGCTCCATGCTGAGGCCCATTGTCAGAAACACATCAGCTCCGTCGTGAGGCCCCCTGCAGATAATATAAGCCAGAGCTGCGTCGTGGGCCTCAGTGGTTGTGTTCTTTTGCTCCGTGCTGAGGCCCTGAGGTAAAGACAGGTGAGGCTGCAGGTGGACTGGCAGGGCAAAAGAGATGTTACGAACCCTCAGGCCTCTTCATTCAAACTGTGATGGTGAGATATAAAGAGTGCGAGAGGATGAGAACGCTTTTGACAAAGATCATCCTTCCGGCCAGACAAAAAAAGATTTAGTCATGGACCAGATACATTGTGTCAAAAGCAATAAATCTGGGATTGAATTCATAAAAAACACAAGATAAGATGGGAAATGATCATAGGGCTGAGAAAGGATACTAAGAAGGATTTTACTCTTTTTACTCTGTTAATATTTTACTAATTTTACTCTTAAAAAGTATTATGGTGTGTTATTTTTTTATTTTATTTTTATTAAAATCTGAATTATATTATACACTTTTTATCATACAATTTTGGGGTCAGGTTTTGTTTCTTTTTTTTTTTAATTAGTACTTTTATTTAGCAGGGATGCATAAAACTGACAGTAAAGACATTTAAAATCTGTTATATATAAATATTTATATTTCAAATAAATGCTGTTCTTTTGAAATGTCTATTCATCAAAGAATCCTGAAAAGAAAAAAATATATAATATTATATATTATAGAAAAATATTAAGCACAACTTTTTTTCAATTTTGATAATAATAAAAAATATTTTCTGAGCACCAAATAAGCATAATTAGAATGATTTCTGTTTTTATTTATTATTTGAATTGTTTAGTCACATTTATATGATTTTTTTTTTGCAAATATAAAGATTTAAGATCTAAAACAAAGTTCACTTGCTAAAAAGTTCACTTGTTAAATCAGCATATTAAATATATTTCAGAATATTACTGTTTTGCTGTATTTTTGACTAAATGCTTGGTATTTCATTATTCTTCAAAAAATACAATGGTACATGTTCAAAAACACAGTATTGCCACTGTACCTTTTTCAAAACCCATAATAAAGCCATGGTACTTTTTTGTAAGTGTATTATTTGATGAAATATTCAGAAAGTCAAGTATTAAAAATAAATATGCAGCAAGAGTCAAAACAGCATCAGCAATTGAGATGGTTCCAAACAAGGATGTGAGCAGCGCTTGTGTTTTTTTAGTGCTATCATGCCATGTTTGTTTGTCTGTGTCTGTGATATTGCTCACGTCACCAGGCCACATGCTCTCACAAGCACGCAGACAAACCGTCCCGCCCCGTCTGTGTACTTTTCCCACATTCTCCATATCTACACAGATTTCAAAATACTTCTGAAAAGCCACTTTTTATTGTTGTTTTCATAGTTTTGCACTACAAATCATGTCAGAATATGTACTGTAATATGGGCAGAACTACTGTGGTTGAATTTGTATGCATTTATTGCAGGGTTTTGTAGTTAATTACAACTGAAACTAAAATTAAAACCATTGAAAAGACATTTTGATTACTTGAAATAAAATAAGCATTAGCTGAAATAGAATAA